AGCTAGTCTTGCCAGTCTCAGCACCAAGCTACAACGCGTCAGAGACAAGTCTCTTGAAAGAATGGCTCAATGCAATCGCATACTGCAAATGACAGGATTCATTGACGATGTCAGCGAAACGTCTGGAAATGTACCAAGTCCACATTCCGACGCTGGGAGTTATGATAACTACTAGAGCAGAAGACTTCGAACAAGATGCGTTCAGCTAAATCGCTCTGAAAACATGACTAAGTTGCGAAAACGAAGTCAGCCTTCTTCTAATAATCGAAGCGAGACGGCTACCATGCCAAAGACCACAACATCTTGGTCTTGAAATCCTGAGGATTTATGTTCATAACTATAATAGCATAAAGGTAAAAAAAGGTTAAAATTTACTACAACCAAATGTCCAACCTTTACAGACTGTCGATCATTACACATGCATATTATCGGAATTCGAGTAGTCTTTATCAAAGATATCAGTTCCTGCATGCCACCTCGATCATTGTTGCCAGTCATGCCATCAACTTCGTCCATGATCAGTGCATGGTGCCGAGATGAAAGAGAGGATTCTAAGAGTTGTAAAGAGATAAGGTGGATAAGTTTATAAAGCGAGGTTAAGAATTATAAAATGATATATTTGTGGATACTTGAATGACGTAAAGATGAAGTTAGATTTTTTGAGATGATGAATAAATTCTATCTTGTGCCCCTTAATAACTGAATTTCTATTATCAAATTATAAAGGTTTCTAAAATATTTCCTTCCATAAAACAAATTTATATGATGCTGATGTGCTCTATAACAAAATAATAATAATATCATTAACGATGTAGTGAAACAAATAGAAGTTTGCCCCACAGGATTTGATCACGCTTTTGTAACTTAGTCTTATTAGTTAGGAGACTCCGAAGGTCGTTAGTATCCCCTTCACTTCCACCCTAATAGTTACTTTCCAGTACCACAATACCATACGAATTGTCAAATAGTTCGCCCGCATTTTAAATGACATAATCAACGAGGGGAACCATGATAAGAATATAGATTATTTGATGTATGCTCTCTTTAGAACGAATCCAATATAGTACAATGACGAAAAATAATGAGCGATCTATTTTCAACTAGGTTTTCAAGCAAATACAAAATATCCGTGAAGAGTTTAGGCTGAATAAATACAATCAAGACTGTAAACCTAAACAAATATCATACCACCAAGGTATTTATAAATTATATAGAGTGCAAATGTTTTTAACCTAAAAAGTACTTGGTATGAAAGTGACGAAACAAGACGCGAAAAGAAATAAAGGCTTTAGGCTTGAGCCAACCATTAGGCATGAGCAAAAGCCATCCGTGACATCCTTGTGCATATAAGAACTAAGGGACATTTGATGGTCATAATAATTTGCCAAGTACTCAAATGAAAACGAACATTCATAATATACCTGTCCCAGTCGCCATTCCTGCAAGACTATGCATTCCAAGAGCATCTGAAAGTATTGCGTGCAAAGTTCGCTTTGATCTTACATCTGAGGCATTTAATTCAATTGTAGTGAAAATTAGCTCCCGGCAGACAACACCGGCAGTTGTTGTTTTCCCTATTCCCGGAGGTCCTGATAATAGGGCTGCCCGAGCCCATGAGCCATCATCAGAAGACACAGAGGCCCAAGGTGAGGAGAAAGAGCTAGCTTTAGTCTTCAGACCTGGTCAAATGTGCCGATGAGAAAGAAAAATAGGCTGATCAATCGAAGACTAAAACGTCAAAAGACAAATTTAAGTAAGGACAAGACCAGATTAAAGCTAACATCGAACAAAATGCATAGCAGGTTACAGATTGCATTTTTTTAAATGTAAGCCAATACGGAGCCAGTACATGGGTATTTAATACATTTTTTTCTCTTTTAGTGACTGACAAGTATCAGAGATATGAGCTTATATATATTCAAAAATCTACCGAA